TACTCTTTTTCAGTTTGGTGAATCAGTTTCAAAGAAGATTGCTTTTTCTTGTAGCTGGAGCTTAACATGGGATTAATGGAAGAACAAATTAAATTCTGAGCAAAATTTAGCACAAAAAATGAAAAAAAATCGAATTATGAAAGCAAATATCACACTTCACAGGTAGAAACGTCTTATTATCTCTGCTACTACCCAAATTCAGTGGTTTGCTGTTTAAGCCACCAGCCATACTATCTAATACAATTTTATTGGTGACTGAGACAAACCCCAAAGGCTTAAGACATGGGTATGCTTATTACCATTAGGTATTCTGAAAGAAAATGAATAGAACATTTCAGGAAAAATCAAATCTGGGAAGGAGTATGCCTGTTGGCAGAGTATACTTTAGAATTCCAGAATGATAGAATGGTTAGGGTTGAAAAGGATCATCTTAAAGATCATCTAGTTCCAACCCTTCTGCCATGGGCAGGGACACCTTCCACTAGACCAGGTATCTCAAAGTCCTATCCAACCTGGCCTTGAACACCTCCAGGGATGGAGAGTCCACAACCTCTCTGGGCAACCTGTTCCAGAGCCTCACCACCCTCACAGTAAAAACTTTCTCTCTAATGTCTAAACTAAACCCAACCTCCTTCAGTTTAAAGCCATTCTCCCTTGTCCTGTCACTACATGCTGTTGTGAAAAGTCCTTCTTTAGCTCTCTTGCAGGCCCCAGTTAGATATTGGAAGACTGTTATTAGGTATCCCCGAAGCCTTCTTTTCTCCAGGCTGAACTGCCCCATCTCTCTCAGCCTATCTTCATAGGAGATGTGCTCCAGCCCTGTGGTCAACTTAATTACTCCCTTCTGGACTTGCTCCAACATGTCAACATCTTTCTTGTGTTGGGGTTCCCAGTCCTGAACACAGTAGTCCAGGTGGGGTCTCACCAGAGAAGAGTAAAGGCTCAAAATTACCTCCTTTGATGTGCTGGCCATGCTGCTTTTGATGCAGCCCAGGATACAGATGGCTTTTTTCACTTCTAGCACACATTGCTGAGTCATGTCGAGCTTTTCATCTGCTAGCAACCCTAAGTCCTTCTCCCCAGCACTAGTCTCTTTCCATTCTCTGCCCAGCCTAATGTTGTTTTTGGGACTGCCCCAAACCAAGTGCAGGACCTCACACTTGGCATTGTTGAACTTCATCAAGATGACCTGGGCCCACCTCTCAAGCCTGACAAGGTCTCTCTGGGTGTTATTTCTTCCCTCCATTGTGTTGACCGCATCACACACTTGGGTGTCATCAGTGAACTCATTGAGGGTGCACTGAAACCCACTGTCCATGTCACCAATAAAGATGTTAAAAAGCACCAGTCCCAATACAGACCCCTGGGGAACACCACTTGGCACCGCTTTCCATTTGGACATTGCACCACTGACTTCAACACTTTGAGCATGATCATCTAGCCAATTCTTTATCCACCCAGTGGCCCACTCATCAGATCCACGTCTCTCCATTTTAGAGACATAGATGTCATGTGGGACAGTGCCTTTGTTCAAGTCCAGGGAGATGATGCCTGTTGCCCTTCCCTCATCCACCACTGCCGTAACACTATGGTAGATGGCCAAGAAATTTGTCAGGCAAGATTTGACTTTAGTGATGCCATGTTGGCTGTTAGCAATCATTTCATTAGTTTCCATATGCCTTAGCAGAGTTTCCAGGAGGAGCTGCTCCATGATCTTGCCAGACACTGAGGTGAGACTGACTGACCTGTCGCTCCCTGGTTCTTCCTTATCTCTCTTTTTAAAAATGGGTATTATGTTTCCCCTTTCCCAGTCAGTGGGAACGCCACTAAATCGCCATGACTTCTCAAATATGTTGGATAGTGGCATAGCCACTTCCTCAGCCAGTTCTTTCAGTACCCATGGTTGTATCTTGTCAGGTCCCATGGATTTGTGCACCTTCAGGTTCCTTAAACGATTTTGAATTCGGTCTTTTCCTGTAATGGGTGGAGAAGAAAAATGGAACAACTTAGGTTTTTCTTAATACAGAGCAAGAATCAAGCCAAAGGGAACACAGGAGCCACTATTTGAGCAAGAACATATTTTTCCCTTTGGGAATAAGCAACTCAGCTGAAGAAAAACGCTGAAAGTTGTAAACTAATTTTATCTTTTGAGTATTGGTAAAAGAGCTGTGTAATACAAGTGGTATCTGGAAAGTGCAATTTTTACAATACTTTTCCCAAAGGAAGCATTACTGAACGAATTGCTAGGCTTTTGGACCAGGCGAAATAAAATGTATTCTAAAAATTGTACTAATATCTATCATAATAAAGGACAAAACTGAAAACTGAAGAAAACTCTTCTTCAGTGTGATAAGTATTTACAACATTAACACAATTCTTGAGATGTGAGGATTTCAGAACAAACTGTTCTGTGGAGTACATATCACAAATTACATGCATACACAAAGACCCATAAACTGAGAGAAAATAAAAAAAAAATGTAAGGTTATTTTGTTGTTTAATCAAATGACTAAGAATTCAGTGTTGGGAGGTATACCCTGTTTTGCCCATAGGTGAATAATATGTATAATCCTTATGTATTTGACTAATTGGGCATTTCTGGAGAACTTCATTCAGGATAAATGGATAGTATGAAAGCTAGATATCTAATGACCTTTTCAGGTGTATAAATAATACGGGTTTCATATTTTCAATTGCATTTGTAATTCTTACTTCTGGAAAACTAAAAGATGGCAGAAATTTCACTTCCTTTAAGATGAATATTTAGCAAATACTACTTTAATGTGTGGTTTCTGCCTAGGAGCCCTCATAAAACATTTTGTATTTCCTTTTATTTCATCAGTTACCAGCCCCTCACGTCTTCGCTTTCAACACTGATATTCATGTAATAATTTCAATTTTTTCTTGGCTTCCAAAATCTTCAATCCCTGGAAAGAATTGCTGCAAATGGCACATAACTGAGGGCAGTCAGATGCTGAATGTCTTAAGTTCAAAGCAGCTCAAATGACCATGTTGTCCCTAAGGGAGTAAGTCTCTCATTTATTACTATACTGAGTGGTGGAAGAAAAGTTTTAAGCTAGGAAAGGGAAAAGTGTTTCAGCTGCTCTCCTGAGTACCTGTGTCCTAGTAGATAAAGACATCTCTCTCAAACTGCTTACTGCACTTCTATTATGTTGTCCTAGGGTATTTATCTTGGAGAATTAGGCAAAAAACCAAAACTACACTAAGCAGTCAGTTGCTGTGTATAAAAAAATTCTAGCTGCGAAGTTCTAGAGTTGGGGATTGGTGAGATAGATTTTTGTGGCAATGTACAATTTACATATGTTCTGTATTGTGTTCTAAGTGGTGACCCCAAGTGTGAGACAAATAGCATTTTGTTGACTTTTAGTAGGACATGCATAGGCCCTGTGTAACAACTAGCTGTGGTGGGTCAGCCTTGGTTAAGAGCTGAACCTCCACTCTGCTGCTCACTCTTGCCCTCAGGGAGAGGAAATAGGAAGAACGAGAATGAGGAAGCTCATGGGTCAAGCTAAAGAATGTTTACTAATTACTGTCAAACTGGCAGAATGTTTACTAATTACCATTGTGAACAAAGAAGACTCGGGAAAAATAAGCTCACAAAAATGCATAATTTCATTATTTGGATAGTGGGAAACAGAAAGGCAAACAGTAAATTAATCTCTTCTCCCCCTTTCTCTTAAAGCTTAAAGTCACTCCTTCACACCAGTCTCTGACAGTAATGGTTGGCCCACGGTTGTTCCTCTTCACTGCTTTGTCCCTCTCAGACTTTCAGCCTTCTCTGGTGTGGGTGTTTCGCAGGCTGTAGGAAAACCTCTGCCCTGGTGTGGAGCAGCTCCTTTTCCTTCTCATCTTTTGATCTTGGTGCTCCACCTTCTGCTTCTTACTCTTTGTTCCTCCTCTCTCTTTGTGTCATTTCCAAACCTTCCTTACAAATGCTTTCCCCGAGGCATCACCATCATGGCAGCAGGGCTCAGCTGTGCCCTGAGCTGGGTGCCTTGGAGCTGTCTGTGTCCAGGCCAGGGCTGCTCCTCACAGAAGTCACCCTGCAGCCCCCACCAGCACCTGGGCACCTGACTAAATCTTCTTATCCAGACTTTCTGAGCACTCCCTCACTCACTGGTGCTATAGAAATGAGCCATTGAGAAAAGCTCAGTTTTGCTGGAAGGATTTAAAATGGATGAAACTGGACTCCAGCTGTGACATGGGTAGAAGTGTGAAACTGGACTGAGGGCTGGGAATGGGGACTGAGGGATGCACCAGCAAAAGCAAACAGCTCTGGGTTGGGCAGTAGTATAAAATGTGTCTCACTGGTCTTGCTGGAAATTGGCCACTCCTATTGACCTCATCAGGATTTTAGCACCTCAGAAAAAATTGCACAGGCAAACTGTTGAGTGACACACTTCTCATGGGATGGCTCGCCAAACTCTGCAGGGCAAAGGACTCTTGAACTCCAGTGCAGAGCTGAGCAACTGCAGCTGTCTCACCTCCAGGCTCTAGTCTGTTTCTCACACCACATCATCTGCTTTAACCACTGCTGATATAGAGAAGCTGTAGTTCCTGTGGGATGTGGGAGTAGGGAATCTCACCATTTTTTGCACTCTCAGTTTCTTCATGGCCATTTTAATTGTTTGAACTATTAACTTGTCATTGAAGATCACAGCTTTGTCTGTACTGGTTGTGCAGATGTATTATAAATAAGCACTTTGATGAACATAAATGATTTGGTGTAGATGAAGTCCTACCTGGAATGACTGTGGCAACCACTTAGCTTTCCATATGTCAGAGTGTAATCAATAAAGTGTGTAAAAAAGCTGGCTAAGTATTGCTAAAAGCCCATTAGGAGTAAACATAATGCTGGGTTAGTAATTTTTTCAGTCTAAATTCATCTTTATAATCAGAAGGTTTCTAAAGCTTGCATATGTAAACCCTTGTCCTATACTTTTCAATTCACAGAACAACATATCACAGCCACTGAAGCAGGGTTTATATTTTTTATTTTCCAAAATGTATAACAATCAGCAAAAGTTTGTGCAATATTTCAGGCTAGTTTGAGTAAAACCATGCAAACCAGGAAATTTTTTTAAGTTATCCGGTGAATTTAAAGAGAAAAATGCTTGCCTCTCTGTGAGTGGACCTGCTTTTTCTGTTTTTCCAGGTAGTGACTTAGATTAGGAAACAAAATTAAAAGACCGATTTTACATCACTTATGTAATTATATTTATTTTCCAAAGCTTTCAGATATCTAAAATTCAGACATACCTAATTGAAACATTATGGAAATGAGATCCAGAACAAATTCTTGCTATCTCCCATCTCAGACAGGAAGGAAGGATTAAGGCTAACTATAATGAAAAAAAAATCCAAAAGAATATGAAAAATAAAGGCTTGTTGTATATAATTTTTTGCCCTGACTATTTGCATTAGATAAAATCTTGAATTAACAGATTTTTCAGAAAGTTAAAATCTCATTTTTAAGACAGCTTTCACAGTAAAAACCTAGGGCAATAACATCCATTATAATATATACAAAATCACAAATTGGGAAGGAAAAAGTTGGTGGAAATATAAAAAGAGACACCAAAAGAAAATTGAAGATCATAATCCTGCCGTCAAAAAATTCCCTGCTGGCAGCACTAGCTTCAGAGCAGATCTCACAGGGGTCTGTGGGGACCTTCACCATGAACACTCATAGCTATGGTGTGATTCTACATCGGAATAGCTACTTCTAGAGCAGGACCTGTTCCTACCTCCTTCTGGTCACCACTGCCTAAACTGCTTGTTGCAATGACAGGTTTTGCAGCACATGACCTGTGCAATATCAGAGCACATTAAGACTAAGGATCCAGTTCATGGAAGGCCATGACCAGTAATCAGAAAATACCAACTGGACCTAGCAGTGTAACAGCAAAGCTTTCTGAATTGCAGTATTCTGTCAAAGAATCAGTTGTCCAAAACTCAAATGAGTCAATTATTTGATTAAAGTAAGATGGATGGGCAGGGAGAGTGTAATAAGAGGGACAAGGCCAATGCTATCTTGGTCTATACTAAAAATAAAAAAGTGATATACATGCCAAAGTTCTTGGCATGTTCAGACTCTACAAGTAGTAGGTTTGCACAAAGAGGATCATGTTGCTTCAGCAGGCAGTGACATAACTAAGGTCACTGCTGTATATTTCCCAGATTAAATGCAAAAAGTATAGTAAGGAAATGCAAACAAATAGCAGCTTGAAAAAATGCATTATTTACATTGCCAGACATATACTGGTGAGATGCCAATTTTCATTCATGTGCCTTTAAAGAGATCAAATGCCATCTTGTCTTTTTTTTAGGGCAAAAACTTCTTTGTTGAGGACAAGCACATCTACTGTCAGTTTTACTGTAAGCCATTTACAGTAGTGTGCTGTGAGGAAGTTCTTTCATTTCATCTAGTAAAATGAGAAACCTGGATTATTTCATGTGTTTATGTCTAATTTTTTTCTGATTCTTTTTTTGTTTGGGTTTGGTTTTGGTTTTTGTTTGTGTTCACTGATTTGAGATAGCATCAAATTCACATAATTACTGCAAATTTGGTTGCTTTAGCTTCGCAAATGGCATCTCACATCCTAGCTTTTCATCTGGCTTAAGCTAATAGCAAATTGTTGGCTGGTATGTTGTCCATTTACATGGCTTTTGCTACAAAACAATCTGATTGAGCCAAAAAAGAAAAGTGGAAGCACTGTAGTTACTTCATTTGTTTCTTCAGACTTTCATGTCAGTAAAACAGTGGTTTTCCCAATCTTTGCCAAGTGGTTTCACTTTCTCTTCTCACTTAGGGCCTCAGAAAGAGAAGAGCTTGTATTTCACCAACAGGCAGGGCAAACAGTCCATTTACAGTTTCAGGTTAAATAGAAATATTCATTAACATCACTTGCGGAGTCAACCTACTGATCACGTATTGAGCTGCTCCAAGCAAGTGTGAGCTTCAGGCTACACTGGTCAATGAGACATAAAAATAGCACCAGTCACAGAGCACATTTTCATGACTTAGTGAGGCATTTTCCTGTCAGCAATTTGATTGAACATTAAGAAGAAATGGTTTAGGATTGCAGCTAGTCTTGCAATCTTGCTGATATAAGAGCTACATTCAACCTTTCACTCCTTAGATAAGATTAAATGGAAAACAGACTCACTTCAATGCTGAGCATGTAGGTAAAGAAAAACAAGAACGAAAGAGGCATGAAAACACACGCACATGCTCACACACACAGTCATATCAATGCCTTGTTAGCATTGCAGCCTTTCCATGAGAAACTGGGCACTTTTACATTTCTATCTTTGTTAAACACCATTCATTACTGCTTGTTCTGCCGCTGCTCCATGGAAATATTTCCAGGTACATGCGTGCAAGTGGATCACGTTCTTGCAATGACAAGTACCACTGTAGCTATTATGGACCTCAGCAGAAAAGATAAAGTGCAAAATGTCAGTGATCACAGGACTCAGTCTCTCTACTGCCCCGGTTTCCTTGTCTTTCTCTTGGAAGTCTTTGAGTGAGTCTTTTCTTCCTTGTTTGAAGGGGGATTAATAGGAAATTGCAGCCCAAATCCATTAGGTCCATTTAGGAAGACACATTGAAAGTAGCGTACAGGAGCTAGGAAAACAAGGAAGAGATGATTAATGTTTATGGTTTCCAAACTGGGGCCATGAGTCTATTCCATGTTCTTTTGAAAACATCTGTATTGTTTTATTCCCCGTAAGTCAGTTATAACATCAAAAATCTCTAGTGTGATCACAAGCCAGGTTTCACATATCAACAAGATTTTAGCTAAAAAGCTCAATTAGAGATCTTGTATGAGAAATTATGGACAATTTCATATTTAAATACATAATTTTTCTCAGAGTTATAGTCCTACTTCTCCCAGAACACTTGCATTTTGGGATAACTGGATGTAAGCCCCCAAAACTCACGCATATATTTTTTGGGTTTTATATTTCACAGTGACTTTCAAATACATTGAAGAATTTCAGAAAAACTCATAGTTAATTCATATCTAACTTATATATATTTTATTAGACTTCAGGTGAATTATCTTTTATTGTGAATAAAGGGATCATAAATGACTGTACCTACTTTCTGACCTTTCACAGTCATGGATGTTTTCTCCCTTTTAATTTTTAAGTACTATGTACGTAGTCATACTTTCCATCATGTTTTAAAAGCTTTCAAGAACACATACTTCAGCACAGATGGAATTGATCTAATTTGCTTCAAAAGCTGAGTTTTGCACTGTGAGATTAACATTGATAAGATTTTAAAAGATAACTATTAATCAGTTAGGTGTTTGGGAAAATGACTGGAGGAATGTTGGCATCAGAAACAAGTTAGTTTTCATTGAATTGAAATGTCTTTTTCTTTCCCCTGCTATTCATCCCCTATAAAAAAAATAGCTGTTCCCTGCTACAGTTCTAAACTGAGATGGACAATAGGGCTCCCTGCATTATAAACTAGGGTGCAGGATTTATTTATTGACTTCCAAGTCCCATTAAATGGTGGGAAACAGAGCGGTGGGTCAGGAATGCTGGTATATTCAATTCATTTGTATTATCCTCTGTGGTTTTCTTGTTTGACTCATGCAAAGGTTAAGTTATTTTTTGTCTAAAAGCACACTTTAAAATAAAATTGGAAATTAGATCCTTCTGGATCTAATGACTTACTGCTTTTACTGCTTTTTTACTAAGTTTAAGAATGGAAATTATTTTTTCCCCCAAATTCTCAGTGCTTTTCGATGGATCTCAACTTTTTCTAGAAAACAGAGATAAAGCAACTCCCCTGATTAGAGTTCACAGCCCAAATGTGTCAGACCAAGGTTCTCCTGTGAGGCTTGACAAGCCATGGATTGGGTGAATGTGCTACGTCCTCCACCACTGACCTTTCTATGTACACACTTGGGCAGAACCAGAAAGTTTCTGAGATAAAATGACAACAAATAGACTTTTTCCATCTTGAACTAAGGTAACTTTTATGAGTAAAATTAACTAAAAACAATGTACTGCCACAAAACCCAGTATGATTAAAACTGGTATTGTCCTACCAAAATACTTGGTCAGAGATTTTTCAATCATATTATTTCCAAAAAAATCTCACAAACACAAAATCCCCTAAAATTTAGTCCCAGTGGATGCAAGATTGCCAAAGATAAATTCCTTAAAGGAAGAAAAATGCCAGTTACAAATTCACCTTTTACTGTTAAAGGGAAACTATTTGTGTGTTGTTCTTTTATGGATACAAAAAATGAAAATACAAAAAGTAAATTACAGTCTTCTTCATGAAGAAGGCAAGCAAGGCACCATGCACTTTCTAGCCCAAACAAATAAAAATAAATATTTTACTTGTGGGTGAAAAAAATTCTTACCCCCTCTTTGATTTACATGCCATCAGAATGCAAAAATGTGCCTCTTTTTCCTTCCCATGTATTTGCAAAGTTCTGTAAAAGACTAACGTACACATACATACTTGCAAGTATTTTAAATATGGTTAGGTTATTTATATATTGCAATTATAGCATGCCTGACACCACAGTGTTTTCCAGAGGTGTTACCTGATCATTATTCTAAAACCACTAGTAGAAGTAATTGCTGCAATGTTCCATTTGGAAACCTCATGTATAATCTATTGTTAAAAGCCACTAAATTCATGAAGAGGAAAGGAAAGGGCAAACTTTAAGATTTTTGCGGCTCAGTCATCAGCTACAAAATAATTATGTGCCCCATAATCTAAATTGGGAAAAAAAAAGAGATAGAAATGAATTATTTCAAAAAATATTAGGCATCATGCTTACTTGGAATGCGTAATGCTAAATATCACTTTATAATTGTTTATTTGGAATATTAATGCTATGTTGTGTTATTTCTATCTGCAGTGTTTGTGAAGTGATACCAGTTTTTTGGCTGGTATGTACTCATGTTGATTTCAATATGATGAAGTGATATTTAAATGTTTGTATAGCATATTACTTATCTATGTTTAGAAAACATCAGAAAAATGTTGCATAAAGAGGAAGTTCAGGAGAAATAGGGATGGTAGTAATGAATTTTGTTAAGTTTTCCTGCTAATTGTTTTCATAAGACTAACATAATTTGTTTCCAATTAGTGAAACTTTCAGCACTGAAATTTGCTGCAGGCTATATATATAAAATCTTTTTTCTTTTTTTTTTTTGGCAGAGATCACCAAATACCCCCAAAACTGCTCAAAACCCTCACCCAACAACAGGGTATTTTATTTATTTCTCTGCCTGAAGATTAGAAGCAAGATAGGATAAAGAGTATAAATTGAATAGGAGTAAGAACAAAGAACTAGAAAAGGCAGGATATGTAAAACAGGTTTAAGGTAAGGAGGAAAAAACAATCATGTTTCTTCCAGGATGTGCTGGTTTTGGCTGAGGTAGATTTTGTTTCCTCTGTAGTAGGTAATATAGGACATTGTTTTGGCTTTATTCTGGAATAAATGTTGGTAATTCAGGAACAGTTTAGTTCCTGCTGAGCAGGACTAACTCAATCAAGGCCTTTGTGCCTTTCACCCCACCCCACCAGAGAAGGGGTGGTGCACGCACAAGGAGTAAGGGGGGACACAGCTGGGACAGCTGACCCCAACTGACCACAGGAATTTTCCATATCATATGGCATCGTGCTCAGCTGATACAGCTGTGGGAAGAAAGGAGGGGAGGACATTTGGAGTGATGGCATTTGTTTACCTAAGCAATGGTCATGCATGACGGAGCTCTATTTTCTTGCAGATGGTTGAATGCCCACCTGTCTATGGAAAGGAGTGAATGAATTCCTTGCTTTGCTTTGCTTGAGCATATGGCTTTTTGTTTTATCTATTAAACTCTTTATCTCAATCCATGTGCTTTGTAAAAAAACTTTTGTGGTTTTTTTTCAACAATCTACAAATATGAAAAAAAGTTTGTATTAATTACTTTAAACTGGATTTTCCTTGGAATTAATCTGAAATATTTCATTCTGAAAAGTCCCCATTTTTTTCAAATGTTCTTTTGAGAGTTAGACAAACTAAAGGCACAGTGCTTGATGAATTTATCCTAATACTAAGGCAATGTTTATACCTGATTTAAAAATTAAGCAAAATCCCTTGGTAAAAGATTGAACTATTTTGATATGTTGTAGTGTATGTGTGATCTAGTGGCTACTTATAAGAGTACAAGATTTGATAAACAAAGTGTTATGCTTCCAAATGTAGGTAGAAAAAGATATAATTTTCAGGTTTTGGAAATAGTCAAACTATTAAAAAAGTCTTTTTTCTGATACCATCTTCATAAATTGTGTCTTATTAATTCTCTCAGTGCAAAACTACTCACTTTTAAAAGCAAATTTCATCATCATTCCACGATGGAATGGATCTTTTATATTTTAGCCAATTAAACAATCAGAGCTTTGAAATAGACATACTGCAAGTTTCCATATTTTCTGGTACCTCATATTTCTTTTTTTTATGGCCGATGAATTTCATACTTTTTAGAAACTGAATTTTCTGTATCTATCATATTCAAACTTTTTAGGTAAAATAAAATCAGCTGCCCATATAGTAAAGCTATACAGGATGAAATAGTTTCAGTATTACACTTTTTATTATGGCTTCTTTACAATTTCTCTTTCATGTTACCCTTCTTAGGCTGCTTTATCTAGCAAACCTCAGCTGCAAAACATGCAGATAAGAAATTAATTCAGAAAATAACGACATATTTGGAACAGTGTCTGCAACAATGTTATGATACAAACCATAGTCAAGAGAATAATTTTAATTTTGGCATGCAAATAAGAATACAAATACATCCCACACTGCCTTTGCAATTCCCACATTCAATATGAATGTAGAATGTGTCTTTTAAACTGAAGAGAGTTCTCACTTTGAATGTATTGTCTCATATCTTCAGAGCAAATGATACCAAAAAGAGAAAAAGAGGAACAGTAGGAGAAAAATGTGGTTTAACAGTAGACGTTAAATAGACATTATTATCAGCTTAAGGAGGAAAAAAAAAAAGCCTTCTATCTGGGTTATACTTTTGTTTAGGATGTAGTTTATGAGAATTAATATAATTACTTAAGTTCCCCTTATGAGTGCTACTGAGGAAACAAAATTCAATGCTGGAAAAGTGTTATAATGCTTTTTTAACACATTAGAACCTGTACCTTTATGTGAGGAAATCTGGTACCTAAGATGAATTAATTTCTAAAAGGCTGGAGGAAGGGATATTTGCTTCTTTCTTGTTCACTTTGTGAAAGGAGCAAGAACTTTCCTCAAAAAAAAAAAAAAGAAAAAAAAGTATTCCTTTAAGTAATTTTTTGCCAGCATGAAAATCAGAGCAAGAACAGCCAAAATGAGTTCCAGAAAGAAAAGAAACAAACAGAACCTCCTGGATTCAAAGATTGTGTGAAGTTGTTTAGGGCTTATGTAGTGGAAATGCTAAGTACCTTCCACAGTTACTCAATAAAGCATACAAATATGCAGTGGAACTTATTTGTGCTCTTGATCTCTAAGTGATATGCATGCCACACAGAGGGCTGAGTTCAAGAAATGTGAGGAATATGGCAAGAGCACTATCCTGATGTTTTCAGGTCTTTAGCAGAAAGGAGGA